TAAATTTTTTTTTTCATAAATAGAGTTGATCTGTAGGGACAAAAAATATTTGGAAACGAGATGGATAGAAATTGTGAAGATTGTTTCAAACAGGTAGAAAATGGTTTTGCATGTCCCAATTCTCTATTCACATATTGTTAAAATGATTTAATGCATATAACATCCTAGTTTAAAAAATATGCTACTTTTGCGGGACGGATAATGCCGAGAAGAAATGTTTCTCCACTTTGTGCAAGAAGAGTGCAAAATATGAGGCTTTAGCAAAAGAGAACAAACATACAAACATCAACTTAAATAACAAAAGAATCATATTACATAATGGGGGCAACATAGACGCCACGAGCATAAAAAGGTCCTCCGGTTAAAAAAATAAGGTACAACAAAGTTTCACCATCGACGGACAACAAAAACTAATTAGCAAGCGAGATCTCATTTTTGTTTAAATGCGGGAAGTTGCATATCCCTATACAAACATGGTTTGGCCAAATCATTTAGGCCATAAGAATATCACCGTTTTTCATCTTTGGATATCATGATATCCACCATACCCTCACCAAAAGATAATGTCGAATGCCACTCGAAGCCAAAAGTTTCCACTTCACATGGTTATAATTACCTATCATTAAAGCCACCATGTTTGATAGACAATTTCAATTTTTTGTATAAAATGATAACCAAGGATTTGAGAGCCACCACTCAGCAACACCATCATGGTCCGGACTTTGAATCGAAAGAAATGACAACGAAAAGGCAAGAAAAATGAACGAAACACGAAGTCGGCCCAAAATTTTAAAGATCGTTATTAACGCAGACACATATCACAGCAAGAAGCAAGGGATTCAAAAATAATGGCAAATGAATCCAACAAAATACCAAAATATTAAAGGCTAAACGAGAGAACATATAAGCATAGCGAAGGGAAAATAAAGAGAAGAAACGACGAAAATGCTGATCTTTTAGTTTTTCTCCTTTTTTCGAGGCGAAGTAAGAAGGTACATAAGAGGTCAACCCAATTTCATTTGTGTTTCCACTAAGACCAAAAGACGACACGTAAGCAAAGGCAAACCTAAAAAATAACATACGGCTAAAAAAAGGTAATGAAGACCAGCATAGAAGAAAATCAAAGCAAACATTAAAACTAAACGGACATGGGACGAGATAACCTTACTCGCTCAACAACAAAGCAAAAATCGACGCACATAATTATGAGTCAATAGAGAAAGAAAGACAAAAAAGAGGCAAAAATACCAAAGCACCAAAAAACCAAATCGGACAACACAACAAAAACGAAATGAGAAAACCAACTCCGATCGCTAGCAACGAACAGATCACTCCAAAGAGAAAGCAAGACAGAAATGAGACCGAAAAGGAGAGCTACGAAACAGGAAGAAAATGCAAAGCATAAATAAAAATGGCAGAAATTAAAACCAAAAGAAAGAAGCAAGGAAAAATAAAAAAAAAGGGCATTGTAACTCGGACCTTAAATGCCACCCATAAGAAGACAAAAATGAACATGCAAAGGCCAAAAGCTACGAAGAGAAGAAGATATGAAGAGAAGGCAACCCAAAGAAAAGCTCACCAATAATATTGAGATCGAGAGAAGCCGTGCAATCACCACACGGAAATAGAATGAGACCGAAAAATTGAGCTACATAAACACCGAAGAGGTAAAACATGAGAAAAAATGGCGAAATTAAGAGAAAAAGAAAAATAAAACGAAGAACAAACAAATGAGACATCAACATAGTTTGTTTCAAACATGCCAATTAACAAAAGAAAAAAAAACAATCATGATATATATTATATCAATTTATATATGCCACCATCATTTAAAAAATTATAAAAATTCATGATATATATTATAATTTTTTGAAAAAGAGAAAAAATTATGTTCTAAAATTTTATTCCAATTTTTTATATATATATATTAGACTTGCTATTTCAAATATAGAAAAAAATAACTTATATTTGTCAATAAATAATTTTTTTATAAAAAATAGATGATAATTTTCATAAGAAATGACAAATTCAAAGGATAAATTTGAAACAATAAATGTAATATAATCTAAAATATATATATATATATATATATATATATATATATATATATATATATATATAATTCTCGGTGTGGTACATGAAAAACCCAAACAATAACACTAAATGTTCTATATTTTTAGCTTAAAAGGGAGAAAAAAAAAGGCCAATGATCCGGGCTCGTGCACTTTGTATTTTTATGAGTAAAACCATGAGCGCACATTAACGGGAATAGGAACATATCAAGCCTATCTTCCTTTAATGTAGACATTCCATTTCCCTTTGAATGTGGGCTCCAAATCGATTGTAAAACATTCCTTTTACCGTAGAAATTTTTATTCCCTTTCGATGCAGTTGGCACAATCACATATGAATGTGTATCCAAAAAGAATTACATGTTATTCTCAAAGATCCCATTGTTTCTATACGATCTTATCGTATCAAAGAGGTTTCCTAAACAAAATTAGTCTTAAAATGATCTCCGAGAGGAAGTGCTTATATTAAATTAAATTATAAGAATGTAATATGAAGAAATGCAACCCTTGATCGCCCATTACCACAAAAGCTTTCTCTACGCTATAGGATGTAAGCCTTTGAATTAAATTAAACTACAAATCAAAATTTTTTAAGTCATATCAGCAGTGTGAATCCACAAACCTTTGGGAGGAGAGTGGAAAATCATGAGATAATAACGACTTCAAGCAAAAAACACCATGAGTATAAACACCGAATAATATCTCATTGACCATGGCCATAGAAAGGAGATTTTTGCAAGGTCGTTTGTCGCTCATGCTACTATGAAATCAAAATTTCAAAAATTATGTTTCACAATCTTATCCAAACGTGTTGCTGACATCGGTGGATCCATGGTCTCACACAAAAATGAAATGAAATTAAAAACCTTGTAATATTGAGATTTAGCTCTTTAATGGGTAGTTCCTAAATCCATATCCATGCAGCGAGCGTAGTTAATTCGTAAAACTAAAAACATATAATCCTTATATGTAAACCAAGATGGTGATTGAAGAACTTTCTATTAGGAAAAAAGAAATAAAAAACAGAATCGTCGCTACAAACAATTGCAAGTACCACATTAACTAATTGCGGAACTAACAACAAACAACTACTTACATGGTATAAACTTTGAAAGCCTTAAACTTTCAAGGTTCGTATTGTGACGAAACTAAGCTAATAAAATGGGTGCTTGTTAAAAGGAATAAACTCACATTCCCATATGTGGGTCTATATGTCAAATAATTAGGATTCGGAGTTGCTACAATTTATCCATATTCCAATAATCCAGTTATAAACACCTATCCGTCTAAAAATCTCCTAATTCATGGATCAAAATTAAACTCCCGGAAACTAAATTATGGATAAAAAAAATTGAAATGGGTAAAAAATAAGTATATTTCTCATGTCTAGACTAAAGTTTTAGCTTTCTTATAGGAATAACAAAACCATATGTTTTAGATAATTGTAATGTAACAAAATTAATTAAGTATAAATTTAAAACCTAAGACCTGAATTGAAAAATTAAGTCTTTAACTATTGGATATCTCTTAAAAGGATAATTTTTTCAAGAGTACAAAATTAACTATATATCGAACAAAATAATGTATTCATGTGCATGACATTAACATGCTAATTGTTGTCATGGTAGGATATTTTTTGTTTAGACAACGATCTATAAATTAAATATTGTCAAAACTTTTGGTCGACATAAAAATTTTGGTCAAAAGACTTAATAAATAAAGTCAAAACTTCCTATATGGACTTTAAAAGTTCTCAAATTTAAGCAAACAAAAGCGGAAGAGTAGGATCCCTTTTTGTGCCCGTCTCTTCCTCTCGCTGTTTTTTATTGTTAAAAAGAAGATTTCCTTTTCTTTTTTTAAAAAAAAACTTTTCATGAATGCGATGGTAAAAGTATGCGGAGAGGTTTATATATATATATATATATATAACTCCCTTCTCCCTAGCGATGCCATCACTCTTTGCAAAAAAAAGCTTTACTCTTTCTCATGAGCAAACCCATCTCGTTTCACACACATCACTTCCACCTTCACCCTTTTTAAATCGAAACTCAAGCTTCCCGCAAACCTCTAAAATCAAGTCGCCTCTCTCTCTCTCTAAAAATTTAGACGAAGTTCGTGGTAAAAAGAGAAAAGATTTAAATATTAAAAAATAATAGTAAATAGTAGTATTGTATGTAGATGCATAATTGATTTTTAATAAAAATAACTATTTTAATATATACTCGAAGTGAATAGAATGCAAAAAAAATTATAAAATTTAATATTGATAAAATGAGATTATATATATATAATCACCCGCAAGTGACTTGGAACCAAATAAACCATCCAAACACACCAACTAGACCAAAAACTCAAGCAACTTTGCAAGGATCAAAATCCAACAAAAAGGATGGAAAAGCAAAGGAAAAAGAAAAGAAAAAAAAAGAGGACACTCAAAGTTAGAGAAACAAAAGTACATAGCAATCTCAACCGCAAACAAAGCGAATGGGGTTTGAAATATTTGATAGCACCGATGAGATCCAAGTGTGGCAAGAATATGGAAAAAAAAAAAAACTCGTAACGAGTTAGGAAATGACTCGTAGACCATTTAATGGTCCTTAGAAGACTAAGGAAAGTGCGGACCATTTAATGCTCTCCGGAATAGTTTAGCAACAGGAGATTGCCCGTCCGTTTTAGTTTATACCAAAATAAAAAAAACCGAACAGTTTAGCAACAGGAGATTGCCCGCCTGTTTGAGTTTATACCAAAATAAAAAAAAAAATTGTAAAAAATTACAAAAATGCTATATTGCGAGTAGTGATTTAAGGTCCCATTTATCTATTAACAAAAATAAAAAGCTGCATCCATCAAAACTTAGATTTTCTCTCTCTCTTAAAAAAGCTCTCCTCCCTTCTCCTTAGCGATGCCCTCACTCTTTGCAAAAAAGCTTTACTCTTTCTTATGAGCAAACCCATCCGTTTCACACACATCACTTCCACCTTCACCCTTTTTAAATCGAAACTCAAGCTTCCCGCAAACCTCTAAAATCAAGTCGCCTCTCTCTCTCTCTCTCTAAAAATTTAGACGAAGTTCGTGGTAAAAAAAGGAAAGAAATATATGAGCGAGACAGGTGAGCACGAAATAAAGAGAAAGAGAGATGCAAAGCTAAAAGGCGCACAAAAACCAACTTGAACGTGAGGAACACGATTGCAGCCAAAAGAGGGGCAACAAAGAAAACCGAAATAGGGAACGGGTAGAACAGGGAGCAAACAGAGCTCGCAAAACAAAGGCAAAAACAAAAGAAAAGAATAGAGAGCGCAAAAAGAAGAGCGGAAGAACGGCCCTAACATGAACCAAAATGAAGGCAGAATCCAAAGGTCATACCTTCTCCACGAAGTTAGAAGAACCAAGAAGAACGAAAAAGAAAACGTGGCGGATAATTTCGTTCCCAAATATTGAAAACGAATATATATATATATATATATATATGTAGTAACACAAAGACAAAATAAGGCATTAAAGGGCAATATAAGAAAACGAAAATAAGACAAGGGAAAGCAAGAAAAACTAAGAAGGGCAAAATAAACCGAAAGAACCACATAGAAGGCGAAGCAAAAAGAGATGAGAACACCGACCAGCACCGAATCATAGGCAAGAGGGTCGAAATGGGACCAAGCAACAACAAAATCGAGGCGATTGCACAATGCCCAATGACCAGCAACCACTTCCACGACGTCCGACCGAAGGAGAGAGCAAAGGAGAGCCATTTGGTCCGAAACGAACTAAGGGAAGATGAAAAAGCGAGAAAAAAATGGGATACCAAACTATGAGAATAAGGAAATAAGGAATTAGAAGGGAAATGTGAAATTGGAAGTGAAGTGGTGGACCCTAACCGAACAAAAAGGTTCTCTACACAATCAGACACTGGCGACCAAAAGAAAGAAAGAGGGGAACGACTGATCGCAAGAGAGAGAAATACGATTGAAAGGAAGTGAGTGGAAGAAAGAAGCATTAAATGAGACAGGGGAAAAGAAAAAGGAAATACCAAGAAAGCCACTACGGAGACTTAAACAACAAAACCCATGAGGGACAAAAGAGAGAAAGACAAAAACAATCATTAAAACATTAAAAAAAGAGAGACAAAACAGAGCATTACGGACGACCAAAAACAAAAATTCGGAACGGATCATCACGGAGAATTAAATGAGCCAACGAGCGAAAGAGCGGGGCGAGAAGAAGGTAAATTGAGAAATTAAGAAACAAAAGAGAAGCAATCGAGAAGGGAGAAGGGCGAGAAAAAGGGGAAGCAAAGAGGAAGGAAGAAATGAGAAGAAACGACCAAATGTCGAGAAGCAACAATGAGAAACCCAAAACCAGGGAGAAGAAAATACAAAGAAATAAGAGATGATGATGAACGAGTTAAAGTAACGAGTAACTTAGAGTCCGAGTCCACGAGTGTTTCATCTCACAATAAACGGGGTTTCAAATAGTGTCAATACGAGTAAAAGTTCGTTTTCCTTTAGTTTTTTTGTTAATACTAACTAAAACTTCGTCATTCCAGACTTACATAGCCGGGAATATTTTTAATCAAGTATACAATATATATATGTAGAAGTGTTGCTAATTTAGTTATCTAAGGAGTTAGACTAAACTTACCACTTTCATCAACAAGCAAAGACATTCTAGTTTTTTTAAAAAAAAAAAAAGAGAAAGAAAGAAAGGGAAAACATAATGATTTAGATAGATTTTGTTTTTCTTCTTAATTTTAGTAATAAGAATAAGAATTCTATATTCAAGCCATGCGTATATTCTAGACTAGGGCTAGCACTAAAAACACAAACAATATGTAGATGCAGACAAGGATTATTATTAAAACACAAATGGTAACTATATAAATTAGCAACTTCAAATTGTAGCCATGCCTTGCTTATTAATTAGTCAACGATCTACTCAACACAAACGTTGATTAGTGCATCGCTCATCACCAAAATTGACGTCTCTCTTTCTTTCTTGTTTCCCTTAAATATGTTGGTGGACTTTGCATTGATAATGGAGCTTCAATGGTCTGTGGCGTTTCCAACTCAGATTCCACTACCAATTTTATCCATTTGTTCAGCAGTAGGCAGGAATTGTTTTTCTCCACATGTTTAACAGGCACCATGGCTGCATGGTTTGTGGTTAACGGAATTCGGAGTGTTGAACTCAAAAAAGCAAACAAATGATGTAAGTTATTTTATAAAAAAAAATATAGATATAAATAGAAGCGAGAAATTTTTTTTTAAAAAAAAAAAATTGGATCAAGGTGAAAAATTTTTATCATGTTTTATAAATCTAGATATGATTTTTTTTTATACATTTATCTCTTTTCTTATAAATAAAATTATAAAATAATTACTATATATTTATAGTAGTTACATTTTGAATATTGTAAAAAAATTTGTGCATAAATGATGTGTGCCACAATTTACCTAGTTTTCATTTCTTCTTTTAGACTTAAGTTTATCGATTCTATGAAATTAGGCAATTAGAAAGATTGTGGCTCAAAATTAGGTGCAGTAGAGACGCATGTCCCATGAATATTTTGAATAAACAATTAGTCTACCAAAATCTAAATGCATATCCTTTGTGTGTAAAATTTATCCGTACATGAGGTTTCTAGTCTTCGAAAGTACTTATATATATATATAAATTCAATGCATCTGTACCTACTAAAATTTCCCATTATTTCTATGTGCACTAACTTTTCTTAAATTCACTTTCAAACTAAGTAAATTTTCCTATATCAATTTTTATCTTTCTTAAATTGAGGTCTAATGTTTATAAAATTTCTAATTTATCTATTTAATTATGCTGTTTTTTATGATTATCATAAGATTGAAAGCTTGTTTCTATGATATATGAAACGTAAGAAACAATATCTTCTGAAGTTTACGCTTCACAATTCGGTCATAAAAAAAATATCAACCTACTATGGATTTCTCAATTATTAAAAAATTATTGCTTATGTCTTAAAGTATTAATTCCTTTTAATTTTTTTACATAATTTAAGAAAGATATTAATTGGTATGACACCTCAGATTTTTTATCCTTAATTTCCTAAAATTCCTTTTCATCCGCCTAAATTTGAGTTCTAAATTTCTTTTAAAAGATAAGGATATTTTAAGAAAATATACTATTTAAAATTTTGATCAAATAATTATTTTAAAATAAATATAAATAGAAAGATATATATATATATATATATATATATATATATATATTTGGAAGATAGAGAATGTTTATTAACTTATTTAAAGACATGTTGCAATACCCCATCGATCTTAATTGCTACCCGCTTTTGGCCATATGTTTGATATCATCTCCAATTCCTTTTTAGATCTTTTCGTTGGCAATCATCTTAGAATTCAACATGTGTCATGTATTTAGTGCCACTCAGACCCCTCAGATCTTCCTCGGCAATGAGGCCTATGACATAAATGGAAATCGCAAAGGTTGAAGATATGTTGCCGGCCGCCAGAGGGCTAGGTCTTAACACGTGAGATAATCAAAAAATCGAACGCAAAATGGGCATTCCACTGATTTTGTACACAACTAACAACTGCATTATCAGAACTATAGAGAAAATTCATTGGATGATTATCTCATCCCACAACACTAACACGTGTAGGATATTGCATCATCCTTTAGTTTTTGAGTTTTTGTGAGGCAAAAAGTGCGTAAAAGCCCACTAGCTAAAGAGATGGACCTTTTTGCAAGACTTTTGGGAGGGGGCAGACTTTGAGAATTCAAGGCAAAAAGAAAGAAAGAAAGAAAGAAAGAAAGAAATCTGCTCCCGTTTTAGGGAAAGACTGTTTGCTTTTCTGCTCTGTGTTGCTCAAACGTGAAGTTTCTCATCATCATGCTCTAGTCTTTGAGCTAAAATTGAGATTGACTTCCAACTTTTCAATATTTGAAGCCATTGAACAAGAATTGTGGAGCTTTTGTGGTTCATATATGGCATCAGGCTGCCTTGCCAACTTATAGTTGAATAGCGTCTGGTCCAATTTCTCGATGGATAATGGATGGCATATATTCAAGATCATATTTATCAACAATGTTCCTTGTGGTCCGTCCTAAGACTTCATGCTACAAACTTTCATGAGAGGTCCTAAAGAATATAGTTAGGATAGAAAAAAATAAAGTGTTGATTCCCAAATTCCACGGTAACAAGTGGCAAAAGACATTAATATAAATATATTTATCTATCTTTATATAATATACAAAATCGTTCATGTATTTTTAAATTTTAATTACATCTTATTTATCGTTAAAAAATTTGAAATATTCAATTTGTTTTTCGATCAGATAATATTTTTAATCGAAATGTCCCTAATTGAAAAAAAAATTTAAAAAATTTTAAATATAAAACATGTGATTTTAAATATTTTTTTATATTTTAATAAAAGATATTTTGGTTAAAAAAAATTATATAGCCAAAAAATTTGATCAAAATGATAGATTGAATATTTTAAAAAAAAAATTAAAAACAATTGAATATTTAAAAAAAAAATTAAAAACAAATGGATGCAACTGAAAATTTATAAAAAGAAAAAAAAATTGAGTATTATATATATATAGTTGAAAGTTGCCAAACTGCTGGACCTCTAAGGGCATTTTTTCTTCATTGACTGGTTATGTTGCTATAGGTTATTACACCAAGATATATGACTGTGCCGTGCAGCACAACATAGACAGGACTTGGTGGTATTGGATTAATTATGGAATCGAGTCTTTTTAGGGCAGCACTGAATTGGAGATTCAAATTCTCAAGTAAGAGATAAAAACCATAACGTGCTGTGGACTTGTTTAATAATGGACGATAGGAAAAAAAATATTGGGCGAGAATCACGAGTCATGATAAACGACTTGGACATTCTTGTATTCTAAATACTTGAAATAGAAAATCACATTGAAAAAAATGGCAAAACGAAATGCACCAGCCGGGAATCGAACCCGGGTCTGTACCGTGGCAGGGTACTATTCTACCACTAGACCACTGGTGCCAGATGATTGCTGCTGACAATATTTATAGATATAGATTAATATATCCATAGATTCCCCCATCGGCTTGCAATTTTTTGATTATTTAAATGTAGTAATTATTCAATCTGGCCTAGAAGTTAATTGATCTGATTCCTTGCTGAGGATAGTTCACTTGAATTCTAAAATATTATTAGACTTCTTTATCTTTATGTTACTCAAATTCTTGAAATTTTGTTCTAAAAAGTATTTATGCAAGGATCAAATATTAGACCTAAATATTGGTTATTCTGGATTGAGTTCTCAATCATTTTTCTGGGTATTAATTAAGTTTCAATTTTTTTTTAAAGAAAATTTTCAATTAATTACTTTCATGCACGTAATGAATTTCATCTAAATTGTATATCTTTTCCATTAAAAAAAAAAAAAGACCATTTTGAGGGGAACTTAATCCTTTTTTTTTTTTTTCAGTTTGAAAATAGTGAAAATTTTAGATGGAAAAATAGATTAAGATTTTTTTTATTTTTAAAGAACACAATTTTTTTTGAGAACGAATATCAACTTTTTTAGATCTGTATAGTATTATTCAAGCCAAACATTCATTAAATGTGTTTGATAATACAATGCATGTATTTTTTCCAAAAATATGTCAGAACTTAAAAGGCATTAAATTTGATGTTTCTCACATCGGCATATCAAAAGCATTCAAAAACATTTATAAAAAAAACCCATGAAATTGATAATTTTTTTAATCCAAATGTATTTTTAAAAACAGTTTCAAATAACCGATGGACTTCTAGCTCATTGTAACACCCTCTTGCTCATATCTACAACTCCTAGATTTGCTAGAAATTCTGAACTCGTGTGTGTTAAAAAAAAAAAAAAATTCAAATAAAGTACAAATGCATTTACTAAACACAAAAAATTGCATTCGAACTCAAAAGTCACCAGCAGACACATCTTCAACTTCTACACGCTGGGCTCAAACACTCCAAATCTTGACTCAGCTCAAGACAGACAATTAAAACAGGCCGATACTTGCCTTCTCACCACACTGACAAAAAAGCCCTGACTTTCTAACAAAGAAACACCATGCTTATCACATTTTGTCTTTCTACTTTTACAGTTCCATGTTTTTATCACATTTGAGTTCAAACTTCAAAGTCATATGTGCCAGATTCAGTTAAGCCATAGAAGACTACCAGTTCCTTCAGCAACCCAACCCACTAGTTCTGTTTTTCATTTATTTAGGTTGTTCGTGGGCATCAACATTTATGTCATTAATTAACGATCAACACTTAATGGAGAAGATAAGAATGATGCTGCTTTGCTTTCATTTGTACAATTGATACGAGAACAATTAGAAAATGTGGAAAGATAGTTTATATTTCAACACAATCATCATCATCATCATCATCATCATAGTCATCTGTCTCATCATCCCAGTCCAATTTAAAAGAGTTCGCCGACTTCTTCAATTCCGTGAGTCCAGTGAGATCCTCCAAATAAGTAGGATGATTAATTGCTTGAAGCAGGAATTCAATTCCTTTTTTCCGATATTCTGATACAACCTGAACATATTGTTTGATCATAAGTTAAATTGCAGTTATAATGGAAACAAAGAACTTGCAATATATATACATATATTGCGACTGTCATCCCAAAATAACCCATGTTTGACAGAAGGAATAAACGTATGCATGCTATATTCTCAGCAGCTCCTAAAAGAAATCTGTCAATAATCAGTCTCAATAACAAAATGTCTCTAAAAAAACTAAGGCAAACATGTACAGTTAATGGGTTCAGTGCTAAGAAAACCCTAAATGAAGAGAAGATAAGTAAACAAAAGGGAATTTCAGGGAGGGAAAAAAAGGTAAACGACAAGTGCATAGAAAAGTACATCACCTTATTTACCCACTGAACTGCCACTTGTATGAACACCAGAAGTAAGATTGTAATAGATTATTAAGCAGGCAAGTAAAAGTAGTTGAAAAATCTAGTGCATCAGCAAAAACTTACAGTGCCGCAACAAGCAGTGCAACTATTAGAGGAGTGGCCTACAAGCATCATTTGCGAAAATTGAAAGAGAGAACCCCGAATCTGGTGGGGCAATATACCAAGAGGTGGCTCACTGCCACTGCTACTAGTGGAGTTTGCAATATCACCTTCAGCAAACATCCTGTCCACAAATGACAGCAAAAGAAATGAATTTCTTATTAAGTTCTTAATATGAGGATGCCATAGACATAAATGTTTGTAGGCTATGAACTTCATTGCCATGGTTTTCCAGACTTACCCATCAGGATGATGCAACATGCTGACAAAAAGCTCTACGGCAAGAGATGAAGCAATAGGAGCAAGCCCTGGACGTGTAACAGTGCATTGCTGGTCTAAAGTTCGATTGGCAGTTGACTGCACAGAGAGCACATGAATTAATACTGAGCTTGATATAAAAAAAACAGTTCATATATCAGATCCATTGGCATTCTAGTCAATTACATCTGTAGGCGCAACCACATCATTGCAGAAGTAACAGCCTAGTCTCTTCCTTCCTTTGTCAGTTAGAGCAAGGTTGTCCATATCAACAGATGAAGTGTTAGCATGAGCAGAGATAAAAGGACCAGGGCCATGCCGCATTACCAAGAAGCTATCAAACCCAAGAGCTGCAGTTATAGTAATCTGCAGAAGGATAGTTAAAACAAAAGCAAACATCCATGTAAATTAATAATTGAAGGCCAATTCAATGAGTTGGAATCTGGTTTAACTGATCCTCCTGATCAATGCAACATAAGCTTGATGAAAAAACAGACTGAAATTATCACAAGAATTGTGCTAGGTACACAGATCAGATTAAGATGACTGACCTTGTTAGCACTTGCACATAGAAGGGTTGGGAGCCATCGGCTCTCTCTTGTATCAGTCAATAAGAAAACTGCATCATGAGAATCAACCAGATCATACAGATGGTTACAATCATCAACCACACTCGTCTCTTCTTGGCTAGTCACTGGATGACCAGGCATTGGTATAGCCATTACTACACCTTCTGCTTCCTGAGGAAAAAAGAAAAAATGGAAAACAACAGATGCACTATAAGCAAAGATCAACATTCATGATCAGAGAAAAAGAAAAGATCAACATTCATTTTGAGCCACGTCTCGTGTACACAGCCCTTGAAAGTAAAATCAATTACCACAGCCGGAAATATACGCTTGAGGCTTTTAGCTGCTGCCAAAGCTTTAAAATCACCTCCATCGAGGCAGTCATCCAATGTGTACAGGGACTGCCTCAATGGATTAGACATAGCCACCCTCCCATTGTCAAGTAGTGTAATTTTTCGGACACCCCAAGCCTGCAATATACATAATCTTTGAGAACCAACATATGTCTATCAATGATAAATCCAATCTTCAAATCACTCACCATAAGCATGCGAGCAACCTGGCATCCAAGCGTACCTGCTCCTATGAGAAGACACTTCACGGAAGATAACTCATCTAAGTTAAGGGATGGCAAGGCACGCCATCTCATTAGTTTTAAATTCAAATCTGCAGCAGATACGGCCAACCTGAGAAAAAAAATTTGAAGTGATAAGACAAATGGGGTGATACTACTATGAACAAGGAGCAATGGAGACAAATACCTAATTGGGTCCATGGATTTAGCAAGGTTAATGCATCTGGATACGTATTTATTTTTGTTTTTTTCCCATCCAACTGCATTAGGCACAAGCTGACGATCATTCAATCCTAAAAACAGATATTTCTAGGGAGTTAGTGATTTGACATAACTGCAAGCTGTAGGAAGTCAAAACAGTAATCAGAATGGGCTATATTGGCCAATTTCAGCTGTTCTACCTTGTGAAGCTGTTATTAAGGATTCAATGACAAGGGATGACTCCATATCTGCAAAACCACGACTCTCTCTGTAGCATAAAAAGTGGACACTCTTCAGACTCCATCTTGAACAAATCAGTGCTAGGAAGTTGCGAAGAGGCCAACCAGGACCTTTTTCATGACATGGGTCATAAAAACCAAATAGCACCTGTTGATACAAGCCAAATAGCTTTAAGAAAGAGCCAGTTACAATCGCATCTCATTACTTTAGCCCAGGAGCATACCAACAGATAAATTTATGAGAATCGCCCAATTTAGAGATACATGCCATTCATTTTTCCAAGGAACTGGAAGAGTTATGGAGATGGACCTTTTGATTATCAGCCTGGCAGGCTTCCCAGTCCTTTAGATGCCTGATGGTAGCATGGGAATTGGAAGCAATACTGACCAAAAAGAATGGCACATCTGCAGCAGATTTATGATCAAGGAGTTAAGGTTTTCTCATAGGCCACATTACATAAAAACAGAAAGAAAAGGGAGTGATTTGACCTGCAGTTATGCTTGAGTTACGCCAATCATTACAAGCTGCTGAGACAGATTTTGCCTACAGATTACAAATGATGTTTTAGCATTGATAAATGGATAAGGACAGCTATGTAATAAATTATGAACTAAATTCCCAACAATTATCAAATTATATGCACCTGTTCTGAGGTAAACCATTTTGAAGCACGCTTTGATTCAACCAACGTTGCAGGAGGATCAAGCACCAAGGCAGGGAAAGCAAACCAGTAATGAAAGCTCCATTTTTTTAGGTCTGCAAAGGAGATAAGAAGAAACCTTGATAACACTGCACTGTCCTCCACAGCTCTTCCAGTATGAATGTCTTCCCAAATCTAGTTATTCAGAAAACAGAATTTTCATGTGACATCTTTACACGTCACATTTTCTTCCACAAAATAGAAATTACAGATGGCCATATCAATAGTTCAAGAATTAGACCAATTCGATCTAAATGCCCTCTTCTCTTGAGCAAACAAGCAGTTAAATCACATTTTCTCTCAACTGACAATAAAGTAAATTCATTGCTGCAATGCTAAAATTGTTCATCGAAGATCAATCCAAATGAAATACCTTGTTTGCCTCCTCCTTTAGCAAGCTCTTTTTGTCTAGGGCATGGAAGGCCTCCAATGTATTTGTATTGTAAAGGGTCCCGGGTACAGGGCATCTGTTCCTGTTACCGCGGCTGATTGCTGGCATTGAAGACTGATTATTTTCATCAGTCGGCAAAGATTCAGCAAGAAGAGTCAAGTGGTTGGATACTTGAGAATGTGAGCAAGGCGCATAAAACCCTGCAGCAATACCGATCCAAATACTAGTTTACATGAATAAAGATTGTCTATATCAACATATGACTAGTCACAAAATCCACACATGCCTCCTATTCAAAATTCAGTCTCTTGACTCCTTTTCTTCTTCCAAAAGCCTGATCACTACAGTTTTATTCATATATATGATTACACATCAATTAATTTCAGAATTTTCATTAATAATTTGAATGCTTAAAGAAAACCCAAAGGACAAAAAAAAAATAATAAAAATTCAAAGGTAAAGTACATTACCGGTGAGGGGTATAGGAGAATCATCGATGCCATATTTGTTGAGCTTCAAAGAAGACAAACTGTGCCAGAAACCTTCATCAACTAAGCTATTAAAGGGTAGGAATTGGAGGATAGTAGAAGATGAAGATCCACACCCACTCCTACTCTTTTCCTCTTGAGCCATAACGCCCTCTTCTATCTTTCAATTCCAATTAAAATTTGACTGACTGAATGATTAATTGATTGCAAGCAAATTCTTTCTGTTTATTTAAATAAAAAATATATATATTCAAATTGCTTGCTTCTCTTGCAACTGCAGCCTTGACTTTCCACAGTGTTTTTGGTTTTAAAGTAACTTCAACATAATGGAGACAACAAGCGAAGGAAAAAAAAATCTATAGAAGAAAGACTTTGTTTCAGTTTCTAACGACTCTTCCAAACTGTGCCAACATAGGATTAAATGATGTCCGGTTTGGAATTGGATCCACAGCGACAAGCGGAACCCTTTTCTGTTCTGTTTTTATTTTTTGGACTTTCAGTTCGTTGATATTTCTTTCTTGAGTAAATAATTATTTTTAGTTCCTGTTCTATTTAGTCCATTGTTTTTAAGCAATCATAAGTTAGTCCCTTAACGGCAGGTGACCGTCAACTCTTTTTGAAAATGCCCAAACTAAACTACCGCTTGAGTGCCGTTTTGGTTTGTTTTGTTCGGTTAGTCGCATCAGATGTCCCTCTATTCTCGATATTTTCCCAAAATGATTTTTGTAATTTTTTTATTCAATTTCTCCTTGTATTTTTTATTTTTTTCAATTTGACATTCTGAAGTTTTTTTATTAATTTTTTGATCAAAACTGATCACTGGCATAAAATAAATTCACGTTACTTGACACATCATATTTTTAATTATATGAAAGAAATAAAAAAAATTATTTTATTTTGCTGAATTCTTTTTCTTCTTCTTCTTTTTTTTTTTTTGTTTTTTTGTTTTTTGGTACTGATTGCTTCAAAGGCTTTGCAATTCATTTAAATTAAGCCTTGACTTTCCTGCGGGAAGCCACGCTGGGCATTTTTTGTGCAAGTTGCAGTGACTCATACAGGTTGGATTATTCGAAACAGAGGAGAGAGGGAGAGGGGGAGAAAAAATAAAATAATTTTTTAAAAAGCTGGGAAAATGCATTTTCTTGAAAATAGGGATTAAAGAATTCTTTTGCTGCTGTTTTCTAATTTTATATAAACTTCTTTCAGTGTATTGGTTGGCTTATTTTTCCCTGCTGTGACAGAAAGGCTCCAATAGATCAGCTGACTTAAAGACATTCAGCATGCAAAACCCACTGGAACATTGGCTGTGATTCCGACAACTACTGTATATATCTAGTTCGGAGCACTTGCAACTAGTGAGAAGCTAGCTCTTGACTGACAGATATCTGCATGGCGTTCTAAGCTGTTGCCTTCATATATACTTCTTGCAGACATACTGCATATTTATTTTTCTTTCACTGCGGAATGGAATCTCTCTCCATACTGAATCATGGAGATACATTACGTTTAATTGAGTTTATTTATGGACTAGATTTGTCTTGATTTATTCGCAATGTGCTTGTTCGTCGCTACATCGAGTGATGAAGGTGAGTTCTTCTTTATATGGAAGATTTACTACAATGTTCGATGGAATTTGATTTCAGTATCGAATCTGAGGATGTCATTCAAGTATGGGAAAAAAATAATACGATAACACTGCTTGTATTTCTTTCCATGTATCGGGATTGATGAATCATTTATGTCCACAAAGACGAGGGTTTATGTGCTGCAACAATTTTATTTTTTATTTTTTATTTTTTTTCCATACATGTTACAATATGCAATGAGTTCTATCAGTCAGAATCATAGGACCATGCTCCTCATCCCGTAGCTAGCTTTTTTCCTGTGACAAAAATATTAGCATTGGCATGTAAATCCTTTTCATTTGTGATAGAAGCAAAAGAGATATCCTTCATATCGGGGTTGGCAGGTTAATTAAGAGCTTTATTAAGTTGTTTTCAGCGTTTGTAGGAATGGGAACTGAATTTTTTGTATAAGATGTATATACCAGGATATTATTCTACAGGGGATCTGGATGATAGTAATGGGAAAGGTAGCTGGCCTTAACCTCATGAAAACAAAGCCTTTGGGAAGTACCATCCATGGCATGCTTGTTGCAAAACCAGAAATACATAGATACACTGGATATAACAAGGAACACTTGAGGCAAACCATACTGAGGCATGAAAACACTTTCAGGCATCAGACATGTTTTATTTCCTCTTTTATATTGTTGAATTATAAAATTGGATTTTAATACTTTTCAGGCAAACCATACTTTTCTGAGTATTTAAGGAACGAATATAATTAAATTATAAAGTTATACATAGAAAAATATAGGGATTTAATGGGTTTTCTCGAACCAGAGGGATTAACTAATTATTTTTGCCAAAACATTAGTCATAAAATAACAGTTCACCTTTTTTTCTCTTACTGTTTAAGACAGGGTCAGCAAACATGATTAATGGGTCTGCTAACTCACCGGAAATAATCAGATTCGGATCGGATCATAATACATTTGTTATATTAATAATTGATTACTTATTTTTATTTTTATATGGAGTTGGTTGATCTCTTTGTTTAGAAAAAAACTATAAAATACAACTCTGTTGTTTTCTCCAAATAAATAAATAAATGATATGGAACACTTTAATTGAATTTATTAATTAAAGATTTGACTTGCAGAGTCGTCTACAATTAATGACTGAGTTGAGTTAACTACCTATTTATTAAGAAATAAATGGAAAGAATCTCATAACAAGAGTAGTGCCATAGAACAAAGTTGGGTCGCATATCATCTCTGGGACTTCATAAGATTGCAAATTTCTTTTGCTAATTTTGCTACACCAGTTGCATAAGGTTGCCCCTATTATAATGCATACTTATGCAATTTAAGATGCCAGCAAACAGAAGAGACATTATTCAAACCCAGAAGAAATATGTTACATTATATAAGACAGTTTCAAACCTTAACAATGAACATCCATGCTTACAACACTAACAAGATGGAAGCTTGGTTGCGGTGCTCCAATGGGAGCTATTGCTTGTAAATTTCGACAAGAAAATAAAAAAGAGATGATACCACCTCTCATAATACTCTTGGCAGCAGCATCTTAGGCATCCATCATCCAATATGTATTGCTATCAGAAAGTCTTCCACATTTTCACACTTCTCACACACAAACAGATAATACTTGCCAAAGAGATAAGGGCATTACCATCAACACCACCACCAACAAGACTTTTCCCTCTTAAGAAGACGAGGTTGAGGAATTGAAGAAAGTCATCCTCCTTCTCTTGTTTGGAAGTGTTGTCCTCGGTGAGTATTCTGGTAAGGCAGAACCTTTCTCCAAGACAGTTGTTAAGCCATGACGAATAGAGTTTGCAAGAAGCTGCATTGCCTCACCATCATCTACAACATTCTTATTTCTGTTGTTGGTGAATACAAACTCATTCTTTACCCGGCTTCCCAAGGTTGATATTTCTGCGTTCACCATTTTCAAAGGAAGAGCATCAATAGCTTGTCTTAAATCGGATAGAAGCTCAGGTCGATATTCACAACAGATAGATGCCTTAAAATGCAACGTTCCATCTTTAGTTCCATCAAAATATGTCTCAACTTTTACTTCGTCATTGTCCATTGGAATAAGAAGGCCTTCGCAGGCTTCTATGGCATTCTTTTTGAGTTCTTTGACTTGGCTAATGACTGCAGCAAGCAACGTGGCTTTGTCCATCTACAATTATCAATTAAACACAAAGATAGATGCAAGTCAGAACTGATACTGGGAATTACCCCAAACATTAATTAAATTGCATGGGCTCAAGAAGAAATGCAAGCAAAACTACAATTGCAGTCAACAGCATGCTTATTCTAGCAGTGACATACCAGCAAGATATGCCTTCATATATCAATGTAACCTGCAAAAGTAATTTGGTTAATTAAGAAAAAACAATGACTCATTCATCTACTACTTTGATTTTAATCGAAGTTTAGAGGCTAAGACACCCCCTCCAAAGTTCTAGTAGAAAGCAGTTCGAAAATTGCCAATAAAGATAAGGGAAATAAATGATTTTGTTGACTTAGTATTTGCAATTTCACATATGAAAATGACAGAAAATAAACAATGAGAAGGATAATGAACCTGAAAGAAATCTTATATCCCTTGATGTTGTCATGTTCTAAGTTTGAGAATTTAAATATAATGGTTTTTCCTGTCCCAGACGCCTACTTCATGCTTGCAGTTACAGCCTTGATTAAAAACCATATGTATTATACCATCATGATAAAATATCATATTCAGCAACTAACAAAGAAAACTTCAAGCCATCAAACATATGAATATTAAAAAAAAAACCTCGTGGAGGGATCCATGATACAGGAACTGGCATAGTGGCCCACCATCCAATTAATATTATCATTAATCACCTACCAGTTCATATATATATATATATATTTCGTATCCGTCCGACAATAGCTTTGACTCTGCAAAATATTAATCTATGTGGTTTTTTCTTCTGGTTAAACAACTAGATGATCATCAAATAAAGGTGTTTGTTGAACTTGTAATTATAGGTGCCTTTGACTTAGAAGAATGATCAATTAAGACCTGGGGGAGGTTCCAAGCCACCAGTAAACTATTATTGCTCTCCTTATCCTGCAGGCAGAACTCATATGTTGGCCACACAATCTCAAGACTGGCTTATTGATGAGCAACACGCAACCTAGCTAATTCAACTAGAACTATGAACATTCAGCTGACCGCATGTATAATGTAATGTGGCAATTAGAAAAAACATGTGATTCATCCTTCTACTAGCATGTAGGTTACCAAGTTAGAATTAGAGAAAATGTTCTAAATTCTAATCTTTAGAAAGTATCTAAGGTCGAGAAGCAAGGGTTGCAGCCAGTTTCTAATTAATCATACCAGTTCTAATGCATTGTCTTACTATTGAATCTCAATCTCCACATTTTTTATTTTTGATGACAGATTAAAGATCCCTAGCTGACTTTTATTTACAAAAAATATGCAGTTGACTCCTCATTGAGATATAAAATCTAGACGATGTGCAATAAACTGAAGTTAGCTACTATTTCTAATATGAAAATAGAAGGCATGATAACACCATAGTAAAGGGCTATATCGCACTGATGAATTCCATTGAGCTTCATAAGGCAAGGTGAAATGGTGAGCAAACATCACAAGTACGGATCATTCCAATTTATTAGAACATAGCACATCTCTCTAATTAAGATTTATCAGGTGCAATGAATTTTGTCAAGCATTATAACTGCTTGTTTGAGTACATCATGCTTATATATAGCTTAAATTTATAGTTTATCAAGCATGATTTTTAGCTGTTTTCTAAAACCCTGTCAAAGTTTTTCTACAATCTGGCTTGAACGTCGGTCAGTTGCTCTGCAGATAGAGGGAAACTTGAAGGGAAGTTTTCATTCACCTTTTTCCTGGTTTTTGGATAAGTAAGAGTCTTCGTTAAATAGGCCAAATTAATTTAGTTGTTTAAGGTTGATATAAATTGAGCTACTGCAGTACTGTTTCTGTCGACTGGTATTATTCTTTCTTTCCAAGGGCGTAAGATTGTTTCCTCCCCTAGATCATGCCTTAAAAACATAAATTATTCAATCTTTGGATTTGATCATGTCTTAACTTCTATATCAGCAACCAAAGCGCAAAACCTTTGCTTGGTTTATGACCAATCAGGGATTGTATCTTTCAATCCATTAATGATAAAAATTCATGAACACCAGCCAAAATCTTTCCAACTTAACTAATCAAGTAGTCCTCATGGTATCTCCTATTAACCGGTTTCGAGGCTCAATTGTAGTAAAAGTTAAAAAACATGCAACAAGAATCAAGCGGATAATTCAAATCTAAGTTGTACTGTGTAATCATATTAAGCCAATTGATCTTGACCGAGAAAATAATAATTGACAAAAACTAACAAATTATTAAGGAAACACATATGCTAACCTTTACAGTGGAGGGCACAAGACCGCGAAGAGTAGCAAAATGGGCGTTGATCCTCTCTCTCCTCCTCCTTTCGGCCTCACTATGGCTCTTCAAAGCTGCCAAAGCCTTGGCCTCAGATACGCCCTTCTTCCCAACTCTTGTAGGCGCCTTCACTAGCTCTCCCTTCTCAGCATCCAACACCAAAGCTTGAGAAACCATTGACCCACCACACAAAACGTCACTAAAATCCTCTAAGCTATGCGGAAACGGATCAAACGTGTTCTTATAACCCGACCCAGATGAAGAGTTAGAGTTAAAATAGTAGGCAACCATTGCAAGAAGAAGCAAGTTCTTGAATTTTGAAAAATATGCCTGTGGTGGACTGTATGTGTAGTCTACGAGCCAAAAGTGCAGAAGAGTAGGCCTGGAGGTCGAGTCGTTGGAGCAAACCAGAAAGAAAGCTTTTGGAGAGGGAAGTTTTGTTGTTTAACAGCTTTGTTGGTGATTTTTGATGCTGTTTTAGCTATGATCATGAATTCCATAACGGAAAAGGGCCAAGTTTTGGTTTGAAAGGATATCGAGATATGTTAACAAGAAAACATCCACATTTTCTTCTTAACAGTATTGAAGAGCATTATTTCTTTGGTATATGTGTTACTTTCTTTGGAAACTGGAGCTTAATTTGTTTGAAAGACAGAGAGAGAGAGAGAGTCTTGAAAAAGTGAACCTTTAATTTTTTTTCTGGGATTTCAATGAATAAAGGGACAAAGACTCAAAGGAAATAGAGTTCACAGGGATGGTTTTTCTTGGAATGGAGAGAGAGAAGTTAGCCAAATGGATGCAACTCTAGAGTTGAGACTTGCAGTTTTGCAGTCTTGGAGGCAGTATAAATAGGACTGCAATGGCTCTGCAGGCGTCATCTTTCCAACTTGTAAATTATTGCTCGGAAGTTGAAAGGTCAAAGGGGCTAAACCAAACACAGTTTTGGAGTATCTGATAAATGTTGAGTAAGAAACCAAGTTATTGGATAAGCAAATGATTTGAAAACACGTGTTTTGGAAGTTTGGGAAGGGGTATCTGGTGTAAAGGACACCGCATCATGTGTGTCTTTTGATATTTTGTCCGTTGTTTGATTAGAAGAGTCAATTCAAACACTTTCAAGGTATGAAAACTTTAAATCTCATCTTTACTCCACAATTTTAGTGTCATGAAAAATCAACTAATTAAATGTAGATGCTGATGTGCAATTCTTGGCAATCATTCATAGCGAATGATTCATGAATTTTTGTAAAATCTCTAAATTTATTCTTGTATTTATATTAAATATTTATCTTTAACTCCTATGTTTTTAATTTGATCAATTAACTTATGTATTTTTTGAATTTGTTCAAGTAATCCTTGTGTTCTAAGTTTAATTATCTCAATAGATGATTTATGACAAATCTTAATGCTATATATATATATATATATATATATAATTGTATTTTTGTAAAATACGTGAGTTTTCAATCTGTCTTTCTAATGATATTTTTGACTAAATTATCAGAATCAATCACATGATATGCATATAATTTAATATTATATAAAAAATGATCTTGAAGTAAAAGAAAAATTAGTCCACCTTGTCCTTACATTTTGACCTAAGTCTCTAATCATTTTTAAAAATTAATTTGCTCATAATTTGTCCTTATATTTTATATAATTATTCAATGTACTATTACGGTAGATATTTTTATACAAACTAACAAAAAAAAATTATAATTTGAGTGTCCAACCTTAATTTTTATTCTATTTAAATATGTTTCGTTATAAAATAAATAGAAATAATAGGAGAATTGAAGAAAATGATGACAAGAAAATAAAATCACTATAATGTGAATATAAGTGATAAGAACTTCAAAGTTTCTCTTATTCTCTCTAGGAAACTTATATATCAACTAATGAACAATCAAGCCTATTTATAGGCTTCAAAATTGAGGAGAGAATTGAAAGGGACTATGAATAATCAATTGCATGACCCTTTCAATTTCTCATATTAAATGATGAATTAAATTATATTAAGAATCATGAGTAGTGGGGATATGAAAAGTAGATGAACATGATGATGGACATTCATTATTTCATAACACTCCCCTCGAATATCCATTGTACAAGGAACATGCCTCGTTAAAACCTTACTAGGAAAAAACCCGAGTGGGAAAAAAAATCCTAGTGAAGGAAAAAGAGTACAATATTCCTTACACACATTAATCTCCATTTTGGTCTCCTCCCGTTGAAGGCATTATTTAAGATCTCTAAGTCGACGCATTCCAATCTTGTGAATCATCTTCTCAAAAGTTGTGGTAGGTAATGCTTTAGCAAATAAATTGCTAGATTGTCACTTTGATGTATTCTTTCTTCAATGAAGTTATGCAAGCGACATTATCCTCATATGATATTGTTGGAACTTCTTTTGCTGGTAGATAAACTGCATGTCTCTTGGATACGATGGATCATTGATCTTAGCCAAACACATTCTCGACTTGCCTCGTGAATTGATATTTCTACATGATTTGAAGGTGTAGCAGCTATAGTTTGTTTTATAGAACACAAAGATATAACTGGATCTCCATATGTAAATATATAACCAGTTGTGATCGAGCTTTGTGTAAATCGGATAAATAACATGTATATGCATAACCAATTAATCTTGTCATTGATTTATTGGAGTAATATAAGCCCATATCAATTATTCCTCGAAGATAACGTAGTATATATTTAACTTTATTTCAATGTCTTTATATTGAAACAGAACTATGACTTTCTAACAAATTTATAAAAAAGACCATATCGAGTCGAGTATTATTAGCAAGATACATCAATGCACTAATGGCACTAAAATATGATACTTTATGACCAAGTAGTTCTTCATTATCTTCTCGAGGTCGAAAAGGATCTTTTTGGATATCAAGTGAATGAACTACCATTGGGCTAGTCAATGAATGATCTTTATATAGAATCATTGTAGAACCTTTTTTTATAAAAATTGACTAATGAATGAAAATCTCATTCTCCGAGTGCTCGAACTGTGAGTCGAGATAACATTTTTTTCCCAAGATATTCACATCAAATTCTCTTTTTAGGTAACTTATGACACTTGGAATCTCTTCGGGAGTTCCAATAATATTTAAGTTATCAACATATACAACAAACCTTTTTTTTTAAATAAAAACATATGAACAAATATGGTTATTTTTTATAACTTTCTTTTAACAAATAATCATTGAAGTGATTATATTACATGTACACGAGTTAGTAATAAATAGTAGATATAGAAATAAAATATAAAAAGTATAAATTGAATTTTTAAAAACCAAAATAATAAAACAAATACTAAAATAATCCTAATAGAGATCTCTATAATTTAATTGAATTTTTATCTCAAGAATATATATTACATGCTTCGGCATCTTAAGTCTTTCTAGGACTTTCATACTGATTCATCTCAAATGAATAAATAAATTGTGATCACATTCATTAAATGCATGCATATGAATGTTTTTCATATATTTTGCTAGGCTAATGAGATAATAAAATATAATTGCATCCATTATAGAAGAATATGTCTCCTCATAGTCAATGTCGGTTCTTTGCAAAAACTCTTGTGTTGAAAGTTTTACTTTGTATCTTACAATCTCATCTTTCTTATTTCGTGTTCGTATAAATATATATTTATATCCCACTAGCTTAACATCTTCGAGTGTTTTAGCTATGGGTTTAAAAAAACTATTCTTTTATAGGAGAACATAATTTCGCCTAGATGGTTCTTTTCATTTAGGCCAATCATCTAAATGGAAAGATGCAATCCATGAAGAATTAAAGTTTATCATGAAGCGAGTAGTTTTTTTACCTATAGTTAAAACACCCGAAGATGTTAAGGTAGTAGGATACAAATAGGTATTTGTGTGAGAAGTAAATAAAAAAGATAAAATTGTGAAATACAAAGCAAGATTTGTAGCACGAGGGTTTTAACAAAGACTCGGCATTGATTATTAAGGAGACATATTCTCCTATAATGAATGCAATTATATTACGTTATCTTATTAGCTTTACAACACATGAAAAACTTCATATGCATTTAATGGATGTGATCATAGCCTATTTATATGGTTCACTTGATAATAATATGCATATGAAAGTTTCGATAGGACTTAAAGTGCTCGAAGCATGTAAAATACATTTACGTGAGATGTATTCAATTAAATTACAAGGATCTCTATATGGATTGAAACAACCTGGATGCATTTGGTATAATCGTCTTAATAATTATTTGTTAAATGAAGGTTATAAAAATAACTCAATTTGTTCATATGTCTTTATAAAGAAATTCGAAAAGAGGTTTGTGATAATTACTATATGTATTGATGATTTAAATATAATTGGAACTCCTAAAGAGATTCTAAGTGCTATAAGTTATTGAAAAATAGAATTCGATACGAAAGACTTTGGAAAAACAAAATTTTATCTCGGATTATAGTTTAAACACTTACAAGATGAAATTTTATTCATTAGTCAATAGATATATAGAAAAAGTACTACAACGATTCTATATGGATAATGTTCTTCCATTGACTAGTCTAATGAATAATCAAGTAAATGAACTACCATTAGACTATATGGATAATTTCATTCTAATATCTCCGTGTTAGAACATAACTATATCTTGCTAATAAATTTATAAAAAATACAATATTAAGTCGGGTATTATTAGTAAGATACATTAATACATCAATTACACTAAAGTTTGATATTTCAAGATAAAAAAGTTCCTTGTTATCTTCTCGATGTCAAAAATGATCCTTTTCAATTTTAAAACATATAAATAAGTTTGATTTTCATTAATTTAGTTTGTATATAAATATTTTGTAGAGATTGAAAGAATTATTTAAAGTTGTTATATTTTATATTCATTTTATTTTATAATAAATTTATTTTTTTATCGTTTTTCTTTTTAATTTTACTATTATTGTTATTCCTTTTATAACAAATATGATCAGGATTGAATTATTATTTGCATTTCTCTTCTCCTAGTATCTAACTCCTAACAAATCTGCTCTTACATGTTATTTTACAGCCGCAATTCCATCCAATCACCTATAGGAGTTGGTAAATGGTCAATTTGGTGTTCTTGAAATTTTCAAAGTCGGTAAGCTCAAACGCATGAATATAGAAAAGAAAAGGCCATAAAGTCATTTTAACATACACGTGTCTTAGCATACAACCTTAGAGCTAGAACTATGATGACCACAAGTTTAACATACACGTGTCTGAGTATGGTTAAAGTCAGACCTATT